AGAGAGTTTGATATTGGCGCAGGGGGCACACAATAATATATAACTATGCACAATGTGATACCCAAACAAGGCAGACAATGTGGTACATGGAGACAGAGGTATCAGGCCAGCTAGGCCGAGCTTCCAGTGAATGACCAGTTATCAGCGTAAGTGATGACAGAAAGTTTTAGAAATGCACAGAGCTGGGGAATGGGGCAGTATTTGACAAAGCACTAAAATCTGAAGGCACCTATATTCCTGATTAGATGCTTACCACAAACACATGAAAGCATTTTCCGATCTGAGCTAAGGGGAGTGAGAACTTTCAGTGGGAGTAACTGGGAGCTGTGGGCTGTTGGGCAGGCGCTGTGACCCTGTGAAACCCCCAGATCAGGGAGCAGCACTTAGCCCTTGCTGTGTTTATCTTTAGGCTGATGGCACAGAGCGTCCTTCAGGAGCTAAAGCAGTACCATGGGTAAGTAGGCTAAACAGCGCTTCCGTCGGGCTGACCGGCCCCTAACACAGCCCTGCTTGGGCCCTAGCCAACAGCTACTTGCTTGGCGCATGTTTAAGACAATCGCAGTGTGGAGCGAGCAGGACTTAGCGACGGTGTGTTTGACGCAAGTGCGGTTAGTGACACAACTGTGAATGCATGCATTAGCTTCAGTTGTAAACATCACCTGCCACTCAAGGCAGCTGCCACTCAAGGTACCCCTCCCTCCCTGCCCCCCACCCTGCACACTGTCTCCCCCCACAGAGCCAAGACAAGAACTGGGTCCAGGGAGGCCAAAGAACCTTCAGGGAATGTCACCTGGTATGAGTTTCTCTCCAATGAGTGAGTTGCCCTTTCAGACTCTCCGTCCCACAAAGGCTCCCCTAACTACTGCTTCTTTAAAGGCCAACACACATGACTGTCTCTCGCTTTTCCAAGATAAAAGCCTCAATTGTATCATACTTATCACATTTCATTTTGGGGCTAAGATAACTGGCGCTCTTATGTTCACGATAGTGATCACCATAGTTTTGGCGTATTAATGAAGGCAGTGTTCCAACAGAGACGGCGATGAGGACGACCATGCGGAGAAAATGGAGGGAGGCAATACAAAAGTCAAGCGCACCCTTAGCTCTCTGAGGAACAGGATGGCTGGATCCTTCATTAAAGATAAGGTGCGTGATGGGAGCATCCTGCAGTCCGACAGGGGTCATTTAGATCCCCTACCTTTGTGTGACCAGGCAGCAAACAGATCAGTATGAATGACTTTTCTGCATATCACGTACCATGTGTTTTAAGTTATAGAGTGTCTGTCTATGCAGTGTCATATTAACTCAATGCACAATTAATTTACACTATTGGCGGTGTGATATTAACTTTGAATTAATGTAAACCATTAGTAGTGCATTAAAAATGCAGCTGTGAATTTTGGGTTATCAGGGTAAGAACAGAGAGAAAGAGAAGGGGAGAGAAACTGATTCCAAGGAGGATTCCAAGGAAGAACCCAAGGAGAAGCATTCCAAGGAAGAACCCAAGGAGAAGCATTCCAAGGAGAAAGATCCAAAGGAGAAGCATTCCAAGGAGAAAGATCTAAAGGAGAAGCATTCCAAGGAGAAAGATCCAAAGGAGAAGCATTCCAAGGAG